GTTGTACGGTCAATCCCGTACCAACCGTAGCGGCTCCGACGGGCCTGATCTGCACAATCATAAAGACGACCATTATGACGTCGAATAATGGCAAATTATTAAAAATAACTACCAAATAAAATATTATAGTATTTAATCTGTCAATTACAGAGTGTGGATTGTTAAGGCATTTCATGAGTGATAATCCAATATTTACTCCGTCTATACTGTGCGATTTTGCGTACATTTGTGTTTAACGGTTTCATAGTGTTACCTGAGTGAAACCAGGCTGTGAAAATGGTCCCCGTTTGCAGTGCTGCCACTTTATACTTTTTTAAAATATACTTTTTTTTAAGAAAATGTACTTTTTATACTTTTTTCATATTTTTTTCTTGCATAAATACTTTTTTTTGCCAAATATGGTCAAAATTCTTCGGACTTACATTTAGGTACACTGTATTTGATGAGATTAAAGATGTGCTTTGCTAGTCTTGTTGCAGATGTGTGCTCTTACAGAGAAGTGTAAGCCCGTGTGATCGTTAATATAGTGTGACCAGGTTCGCGAACAGTAGATACTTGTGCTATTGCACTAAAGCGGTAGGCCGTGTAATGCTATAACCACAGAATTATTGCAGTAACTCTAGTCTTTGATAATCAACATCATAGTGACAATTACATACAATACATAGATGGCTACGCAGGCCAACCAGCATATACGCGTTACAAATGGTTTGCAAATAGTTTACAGCTTACGACCGTGGTGTCCGATGACGACTGGCGGCAGGCGGCGGCTTCAGGATCAGGTGGTGACTGTCAGCAGTAACGGTAGCAGACGGCGAGTTAGAGCATCGTGGCCGTCACGGACTCGCTGTCCCGCGAGCGTGGCCGTCACGGACTCGCTGTCCCGCGAGCGTGGCCGTCGCGGACTCGCTTCTGTTCTCTGTCCCCAATGCGGCTGGTATTCATGCATCTGAGTTCTCCAGGAATCCGTAGCCCGGGCGTGGTCACGGCCTTGTTGCGCGCGGATGGTGCAATATTGTCGTCATGGGCTAAAATAAGCCTATCACGCTATATAGGTGTTGAACAACAGTATAGAGGGCGTCCATGGCTGCAGGCCTGAATAAGCATCGAACAGAAATTAATTAAAAATACGCACACTGTTACTGCGCTTACAAAACATACACTTTATTCATGTTAAATAACTACAGATTCGTGCTCTATGCTCCGCTCGAAACTTTTGCCAGCTCTATGATGTGAATTTCTACAGAGTAGTCGGATCCCGTTTGTGACGACCATACACAAAAATGGCCGACCGGCGACCATGGCTACGCCACTAGCTGGAATGGCACAATTACACAACACGAATAATTTTACTTCTAATGCTTTCTAGACGTCCACGAGGCATCTTCCTTGTGTGCATAATGGAAATTATTGCACTCTAGTGCCGAATTTCGGCGAAAGAAAATCCCAAAAAAGCCTTTTCTAGAGACGAAATAGTGCAACATTGGTGAACAATTGCGGAAGCTTACTGTTGTACACCTCCTATAGGTGTAAAGTTAACGACCCGTGTCGCTCGCTGCGCTCGGCTCATGTTACCTTAAATTGCATAAACTAGAATAACTGTTGTTGCTATGCAAGCTGCTTAAGTTTAAGGAGTTGTTCTATTTTATACTAGGTTAAATAATTCGATATCTACGTTATCACTCTCTGTTCAGTAGAGTGTTTTTGCACTCAGCTCTAGCTGCTGTCAGTGACCAAATGTCAAATGAGCAATGCACATTGCAGTGTTTCCCCTACATTGACACAAGCGAGGCGGGCCATACTTCACTGCAGCTGTATGCTTGTGTAATACGGAAATATAAATAATAAGGATAAATCAGAATGATAAGACAAAGAGCTTTGTCTTATCATTCTGATTTATCCTTATTATTCATATTTCCGTATTACATTACTCCCCCCCCACCTATCAGAAAAGTTGGGAGCCGTACTAATGCCGCCACCGCCGCGCCTCGCCTCGCCCGCGCGACGCATCGCCAGGTCACCTCACATGTAGATAACATGCGCGCAGCGTATCCGTGGTTACGCTGGGATCAACCGCGAGGTCAGGTCACGACCAGAACCCCAAAGGAAGCCGTAACTGAAGGCGTAACTGAAGCCATAAATAAAGCCATACCGGAAGCCACACCTAGGGAGCGTGCAGCGACAAGGGCTACTAGAAAGCAGCCACTGCGGCAGGCAATGCTAGCCTATCCTACGATGAGCGAC